GCGTGTGTGTGTGTGTGTGTTGCAGGACGATGGAGAAAATTTATTTTTTGTGTTTTGTACGGGGGGTGAAAAATAGGCTTTATTAGAATCACAGCAGGAAATGACAGGAATGATGTGTTAACAATGGACTTCTTAGTCGCCGCTAACTCAAAAACTGTCGTCACCATCGATTATTTTTATGCTTTTGCCCTATTATGTAAAAACTACCCGTTTACTCGCCACCCAAACATTAAAAAAACCAACCCCCCTCCCCCCGCCCCCGCCCCCCGATTGAAAATTTATGGATTTGATATAATGAGAGTATAAAAGTCAGTTTTAAAAAAAAAATGACAAATTAAAATTTTGTTAATTTTAATGTTGTCGTTGTCGTTGTTGTTGTTGTTGTTGTTATGCTTTTGTTAAAAGTGAAATCATCATATTTTCTTTTAACCGTCACGTTTTTTTTTTTTTTTTTAAAGAACAAGTTATGGTCCTTAAGCACGTTCAAAAAGATCCGAACGCCACTCAATTTTCGAACAAATGAGAAATTTCCCTTTTTTTTTTTTTTTTTTTTTTTCTAAGCTCCATTTCTCAATGACTTTTTCCTTTATTATTTTTTTTTTTAACTCATTTGTAAATAATAATAATAATAAATTAATTATAATTAAATTTAAATTTATGGTGAAATCGTTATTTTATATCGATACTCTTTTTTTCTTAGTCTTTACAAATAATAAAAAATTTTATTTTATTTTTTTTAAGTAAAATGGGAAAAAAAAAACGACTAAAATAAAATTCGAAATGACAAAAAAAAAAAGAAGGAATTGATTTAGTTAGGGAGCAATGGAAATTTCGAACCCTTATTTAAAAAAAAATTTCAAGTGGCCACCATAGAGGTTGATTAAACAAATAAAAATTTGCTCGACTGAGTTTGCTCAAGCAAATTTTTATTGCAACCCACTTAAACACACGGTAGGAGATTTTTTTTTTTCAATTGTGGCAACAATGGATAATTTTATGTCCTCTTAGTAGTACCCCATTTTCTTCTTTTTGGCAAATTTTAAATTAAATCTCAATTATTATTATCATCATAATTTAGAAAACATTCAAATCAGAAAAATCGATTAATTAATAATAAAAAAATAAAAAAAAAAATTATTATTATTATGACTTACCTTGTTGAGCTCGTCTGAAGTAAATTAAAAAATATCTGAAAAGAAAAAAAGAAAAAAAATTAATATTAAGAAAATATTCAAATAAAAAAAAAAAGTAACGATTTTTTTTTTTTTTAATGCGGAAACAAAAACGTTTTTTTTTTTTCGATTCCATAAAGGAGTGGCTTAAATTATATTGTCATGGTAACATCACGTAAATTATAAATTTGCACATTTTTTAAATCTTTTTATTTTATTTTATTTTATTTTTATTGCAATTATTATAATAATTTATAATAAATTTAAATTTAATTTGTAATTATTCCTAACGGGATTTTATGTTTTCGTTGATTTAATATTTAACGTTAAGTTTTTTAAATGTAATTATTCGATGATAATAATCATTTTTTATATAATTACTATTAAATATTTTTGTAATTTGTATAAATAAATTAATAAAGTTTATGTAGTTTTCATTTTGAGTTAATAATATATAAAATATTTGGAAACTCATTTTTTGTTATTATAATTACCTTAAAAATAATTGTTCGTGGATATTATCATAAATTAACTTTGTAATTTCTTAATTTCAATTGAAAGTTTTTAGAATGTAAATTTGTTTTCCTTATTTTTAATTAAAAACCGTTTTTTTTGTAAAATAAATTTTTATTACAATCACTTTTTATGATAACTTCTCATTAAAATTGTTTTTTACTCTATGGAATCGTAATGGACAATGTTTTCCTTTTGGTTTTAGTTTGTAACGATGATTTAAGCTCAGTAAAATGTTTAAATTAGGTAAAACGTTTTGTTAATATAAAATTAATGTAAAATATTTCACAAATAGAATAATTATTTGAAATCCTGATAATTTATCATTTAATATTTATTGTACGCATGCAGATATTTAAATGAAACTATAAGCCTTGTGTGAATAAAATGAATTCATTAATTTTTTTTAGGAATTAGATTTTCGCCTTTAGTTTCTAACTGTTTTAAGAAATATGTTCAATGTGTTCCTCAGATTTCTCAGGTTAAACCTAATTTATTTCTACAACCTCAGTTTACAAGAAATACAAGTTTTTTTATTAAGTGTAAGTTTTTAAAATTTTATATATCAACTTTATGAATTCATTTCTTTATTATACATTATTGTATAATAGTAAATAATATTTATTTAATATTTTATTATTTTTGTGTTTATATTATACTTTTCCTTTTTTTATATTATTGTTATTCTATTCACTTCTTAGAAGGCCAATAGAAAATAAATACTTCAAATATCATTTCAAAGTTTTTTTATTTTACTCGAGTTTTATTAATTTTTTAACTGTGTTATTTGAATTACCTTGATTACAGTAAGTGCAGAAGATTTATGGAGGGGAGCTACTAGTGTAAGTAATGCTGGTAAAAAAAGAGGAAGAGGTAAAGGAACAGATAGGAAAATAAAACTAAATTTAAACAAGGGCCAAAAAATAGGATTTGGAAAAACTAACATGATTTGGCCAGGATTAACATCTCCAGTTGTACAAGCTAATACTTTGATTGAAATAAAAAAACTTCCTCCTTCTTCTGAACCTGTAGCAGAAGAAGCAGTAACAAAAAGAAAAAGATTTTTTAAAATTCATCCATTAGAGAGAGGTTGGCATGGTACTAATATTAAGGGTAGAAGTTTGGGTTCACCTGAACTTAATGATTTAGGTGAGTGATATCGTAATTAAATATTATTTTACTTGGCATTAATTATCAAACTAGTATACAAATATAAGAAATTGTCTCATTGTACAATTGTAAGTAAAATTTTCAATTTTAGGTGACTACAGTGAGTTTGATAGTGTATGTGTAGAAAGTAGACTTGGAGCCATAATGACTAAAACAATGGGAAGAAAAAGACGATTTACTTCATTTGTGATTTCGGGAAATCGTAATGGTTTAATTGGTATTGGCAAAGCCAGATCATCAGACTCCAAGTTTGCTGTAAAAAAGGCGCAAAGAAAATCTGTTTTAAAGCTCATTTATGTTAATTTGGAGGAAAAGCATACAAGTAAAATTTTACATAAAACATTATTACCTTTTTATAAAGCAAATTTAAAACAGATTGTGAATCTTTGATGTCCCTGCAAAAAAAAAAAAAATGTTTTATTAATTATTTAATTAATCAAAGAAATATCAATAATAATAATAATAATAATAATAATTTTTTTTTTTTCTTTTAGTAAATCATGATTTCTTTTATCAATTTGGTAAAACGAAAATTTTTGCTTTCAAAAAACCAAAAGGATTTGGTTTAAAATGCCATAGAGCTATAATTAGTTGTTGTAAATTAATAGGAATCGAAGACCTTCATGTTAAAATTGAAGGTAGTGTTAATGTAAAAAACGTTGTAAAATGTTTTTTGTTAGGTCTAATGCAACAGGTAAATATTTTTATTATTATTGATGTTATTTTATTAGTTCAGTATATATATTTCTTTTAAATAATTTATTACTTACTTACTTATTAGAAAAGTTATCAACAAATGGCTGACGAAAGTAATCTTCATGTAGTCGAATACAACTCGTTAAATTTAAATTATCCAAATGTTCTTGCTTCACCTAAAGTTGAAAATAATGAAGAAAATAAGCATAACAAGAATAAAGAACTTACCTTTGAAGAATATATTTGGAATAATAAAGTTATTTACAAAAGACCAAAATATTTAAAATATGAAAAATTACCATCATGGCAGACACATTTAAAGAAAACATTGTTCAAAAGAAATCATAATAAGGTAATTTATAAAACTCATTACAATTTATCATAACCTTGTTTTAAAAAAAAAAAAATTATTAATTAAATTCATTTTCACAGGTTAAAACTGAATTGCTGAAAAATTATGGAAATCTACAAAGTTACTTATATGATGTTTATCCGGAATGCAGAGCAGGAGCAGAAAGACAAAGAAAAGAAAAATAATTATTATTATTATCTGAAGAAAGTGTTCAATTATGTTAAAGTTATTATTTACATTATAAATCAATTATTTGTAAATTACATTTTAAAACTGATTTTTATAATTTATTATAACATTTTCCTTAAAATTTATCTTAAAGGCCATTTTTAATTGAAATTATTTTTTTTTTTTTTAATAATTTATAAGTACACAATTATTTTCCTTAAAAATATTAACTTGGTGTACTTATTATCAGCGTTCAACATGTTCAACTGGTAAAATATTACATCCTAATAACCCTTTTCCACTCCATGTGTTTGGGATTAATATAAGTTTTTTTGTAACACCAAATCTTTTAACTGTAACAGGAACTTTTTTACCCACAGAATGTTGAGTGACTGCGCCAATTTCTTGCAGTGATTTAAAATTATCATAATTTATAGATCCAAATGATAATATAAAGTCATCAACTTGCAAACCCTGTTTTAAAAAAAAAAATTAAAAAATAATTAAAAAAGTTAGTTTATATATATAAATTAAATGAATAAAATGGTACTTACAGCTAAATCTGCAGGAGAACCTGGTTCGACAAAACTAACTTTGGCAATAGGCATTGAATAATCATTGACACATTTTGTAGAATTAGAAGGTTCTTCAACGGAATCCAAACTTTGACCGTGAAGAAAATGAAGTCCTTCTTCGATTTTTTTCATAATTTCTTTATGATCATTTTGTAAACAAATGATTTGATGTCTTGCATGTCTTACTTGATAAACATCAATATCCTGCCTTGGATAACCTTCCGAATCTACCAAATCGTCATTCATTCCTACTCCATTCTACAAATAAATATTTTACACATTAGAAATTTTTAATAACAAAATATTAATTTTTTCAATAAAAAATACTTGTTGAAAATACTTACTCCGTCCAAAATTTGTTTTAATTGATACAATTGTTTTTCTATTTTGTCTTTATACTCCATTAAATTCAAAACTGTTTCACGAGTAATCGGTTCTTGTGAAGTCATATTTAAATATTTATTTATAATAAACAGATATGATAACTCATTCAAATTAGTAAAACCATTAATAACATTTATATATATATATTTAAAAAAAACAATATTTTTATAAAAATTGAATTTATTTTATTAACTTATTTTAAATACTGAAAACTTTAAATTAATATTTAATTTAATATGTTGAAATAATAAGTAATCATCAAATTACTCATTAATTTCATTCACGGTTTCCAAATTATATTTTTAACCATTGAATAGATTTACCTTTGAAAAACAAAAATGGCGATGTCTTCAGCTATGTCTTTGACTAATGAGGAAAATGATAACAACATGGAAAAATATTACGAAAATTATATATTAATTGATATAGGTGCAAATTTAACTCATAAAAAATTTCTTAAGGATTTAGAATCAGTTATAACTCGTGCCAAAGATTCAGGTTAGATGATTGTTTACATTGACTTATGCCTTAGACTTCTTGTAAATATTTGAAATTTTTTAACAAAATACTTACCATACTTTTTTTTTTTTTTTTTATTATTTTTAAAATAATAATAAAATTAATTTATAATTAATTATTTTAAAAAATAAAAAATTTTTTTTACATGCGCTCTCGATTCTAGACTTGAGAAGCTGAAGAATTTTATAAGAATTCTCAACTGCTTGCATTTATAGTTGAGGTACATTATTAAAACGTAAATTCAACGTCGTGTAACTTTAAAAAATTAAATTATTATTATTTATTGTGATAATCTTTAAATGACAAAGAAAAATATTTAAATAAAAAAAAATTAATTATTATAGGTGTTCAAAAAATAATGGTTACTGGCACTACATTACATAATACCAAAGAAGCACTCAGGCTTTCTAGAATATATCCCGATTCTTTATATTGCACAGCTGGAATTCATCCTCATGAAGCAAAGACATGGACTGATAGCTCATTGCACGATTTGAAATCTTTAGCTCTCAATTCTGAATGTGTTGCAGTCGGAGAATGTGGGTTAGATTATAATAGAGATTTTTCTCCTCCTCAATTACAAAGAGAAGTTTTCGAAGAACAGGTTTGTGTCGTTTAAACCGAATTTGATGCATTGAATAATTTACAAATTAAAACATTGATTGGAATTTTTTTCAATTTTTCAATTTTGCAGGTAAAACTCGCATGTGAATTAAATAAACCATTATTTGTTCACGAAAGGGAGGCTCATGAAGATCTTTTGAATATATTAAATAAATATAAAAGTAAAATACCACCCACAGTTATTCACTGCTTCACGGGGACAGTCGAGGAAGCAAAGAAATATTTAGAAATGGGTTTTTATATCGGTCTCACAGGTACATAATCAAATTTTATATATTGTTTAGTCGAAATGAAAAAAGTCTAATTAAAATTTGTAATTGCCATTTCATTGTTAGGATATATATGCAAAGAAAAATCGGACAATGGTGTGAGAAAACTATTGGAAGATAACGCCATACCTCTCGAACGATTACTCGTCGAAACTGACGCACCTTTTATGTACCCGAACGCCCAAGCATCGAAACTACCTGCCCGGGTTAAACAGGCAGTTACGAACCGTTCAATACAATTTCTTAATCGTTATTGTACTTTTCAAAGAAACGAACCATGTTCCTTACCTGTTATTGTTGAAATGATTGCTGGATTTATGAATAAAACTCCAGAAGAAGTTGCTTTAGTTACTGCATTTAATGCTCTGAAAATATTTAATTTATCTCATTAAAAATTTTACCTTTTTTTTTTTAAATCATCATTAAATTGATTTAATTCAAATTTTATTTTATACTTTTTCCTTTTTTTATTATTATTATTATTATATATTTAAATTAGAAAGAAATGATTATATTGAATTTTTTTAAATGTTTTAAAATGTACAAATCTCAATAAAATGTTATTTTTTGTTTCTTTTTTGTAAATAATGTAAATTTTATTTTTTCTTTATAAGAAAAAAAAATTTTCTTTTTTATTGACGTTATTTTTTTTAGTTAAGGGATTTTATTGTTATTATTATTATTATTTTTTGTTTATTTAAATAAAATTTTCTTTTTTTAGATCATAATCATTTTATATATTCATTTGAAAATAATAATAACCTTTTTTTAAAATTCCTCCATCTTAATCACTTTAACTAAACTGATTTAAAATTTTAACGGTTTTTTTTGTTAAATGTTATCAAAGCTCATGATGATAATTCATAAAATATTTAAAATTTTTTTTAAATTATCATCAAATCTAAATTAATAGTTTTAATAATTCCCTTTTGAATATTTTATTACCATAACAAGGAAAACACAAAATAAATAATAATTTCTATTAAAATCTGACATTCTATCAAAATCAATTATTAATTTTATGTAACCTTTTATAAATGATCAATATATATATAAATAATTGAAATTTTAAAAGAAAATATCATTTAAAAGTTTGCGTGCAAATATTATTATTATTATTAAATATTATTCAAAATAAAATTTTTCAATCAAAAGTAAATTTCAAAAATGAAAACACCAACATTTTGTTTTTCCTACATGAAAATTTTTTTCTTTTTATTCAGTAAGTTAACATATTTTTATTTAAAATGGTTCAAAATTTGTTCCAAATATAAATCAATTAATCATTTTTTTTGTTTATTTAGATTTTGGTGGAATCATAATAAGAGGACATCATTTAACAGAAAATGATTTTGATGATGATGAAGACATGATGATGAGTTTAAGTTTGGCTGTGAAAGACATAATAATTGGTTTACCATCATCTCATGTGACATTACTTTTTGAAAATATCACAGGTTCTACTTATTATCATTATTATTAATTAAACATTATAATAATGATTTTTTGGGGGGAAAAGTTATGAATCATAATAATAATAATTACAGATTCAACGTTTCCAATGATTTTAAGTAAAACATTACAAAAATCATTAATAACAACAAGTATATACACAATTGAAAAAGGAGAAAATCAAAAAGAGGTTTTTATTATTCATTAATTTATTTATTTATTTAATAAATTATTAAATTAATTAATAATGATTTTTTTTATTTATAGTTTTGTAAATATTTGAAAAATTCACTAACCAAATATGAACAAATAACCAATATATTATTTGCAAGTAAAAATACAGCAACTGATTTGCTATGGATGGTAATTTATTTTTTAATTAAATAAAAATGTTTAAAATAAATAATTTAATTAATTAATTTATTATTATTATTATTATAGGTTGAACAGGAAGATTTAATGCATCGAAAAATATTATATATTTTATATAGAGATCATAATTTACGTGATAATGATTTTTTTTCTGGACAATTTGAAGCAATGAGAATTTCATTGTTGACAAAAACTCAAAATGGAATGTTCGTCCGTTACAAATTCTTTTTGAAAATTTTTTTTTTTTTTTTTTTTTTAGAAAATTTAATTTATAATCGATCGACAAGGTTTTTTTCGTGTAAATTAAAAATAGTTCTTTTTTTATAGATATAGACTATATTATAGTCAAGCTCATGC